GAAACTTAGTACCCATTCAGGTTCACATAATAATAAGCCGAGCAACGGAGGCGGATACTACTCGCAGCCGAGCAAGTTGAGCAGTTTCCAGACGCCCAATGCGGCTCCTTCAGGCCCTGCCTGAATGTCCCACCGGAGCCCCAAAGACCCCCGCCCTACAATCCTTTCTATCCAGCACTACACAACATCAATTTGCGGGGACCAGCACGTCCAGCAGATGTTTCAATTTCCACTATCAAATCTAAGAACTTTCCAGTGGAAGCCACCTACCTACAGCAGGCGAGACAAATTCAAGCAGGATCCTCACCTTACCAAGGACCCCGCAACCCTGTAGGACTCCCACCAAGCGCCACCTTCGTGCCCGCTGGACGAGCTAGACCAGTCGGAACTTTTCCCTATCTACAGAAACCTAAAAAGTCGACCGTTTCCTCGAGTAAGCTTACAAAAAAATGTATCATTCCTTGGAGTGATTACTTTACTAAAATGAACATCGTGTTACAGAGGTGACTGACTTCTTAAGTAACTCTGGCGCCAGTGTGATAAAGCACTTAAATGATAAAAGCCGTGACGACGACACCAGGAAAGTGGCAGCGTCCAATACGGTGATAAGTAATGAAGGAAGCAAATCAATAAAACCTGAGGCTACTCAGAAATCTGCCAACACCGCTGGTGACCGTGTTTGTGTAACCGTAAAAGTACCGCAACAAGATCCGAAGAATTCAACCAAGGTGATCGAGGTGGACCAAAAGGCCTGCTTTGCAGCACAACCGATGCAGATTCATTCAACAGCCTCCCAAATTTCAAAGCCGATATCTGAACACTTTTACCTGATATCCATTATGGTCACTTTCTTTCTGGCCTACTGTGCCCAGTGACTAAGTGTGTATATGTACTTTTTACATTTAAAGTTTTTATCCTTATCGCAATCTGATTTTTATGGATCCAAATAAAATGTGAAAGTCTACTCAATTCTGCTCCATTTTTTTCTCACTGCTTGACATTTATATTATTTTCCCTTATAAATTTGATTTACTAATATTAAAACAAAAAAATAAAATCTAATACAATTTCTTAGATCTCGACCTTTACTCATTTTATATATGAATTATCTGAACCAAAACTATAAATTCGAAACTTGAGGTAATTATGAAGACCATCTGGCAATGTATGATAGTCTTATTTTAGTGTAATGTTGAATGCTATCCCGCGATTGCTGCTCTGCTCATCTCGAACCGCTCCAGAGAAAACCGAAAACGCGACCCAATTTTTAATGCCGTTTAGTTGCTCGAGATTAATTAACGAAACATAATCTAAACGGCTGAAACGCAAAAGGAAAATTAAATATTAAAATATTTACACTGATATAGTTATACGTAGCTTGGCGCTGATCCTATTAAATAATTATCTGGTGCAGATTGGCAAGCAGAAAAACGCTTTCGACCCTGCAAAAGATGATCAGAATTCCAACTCCTCGGATGATGATAAGATCGATCCTGCGGGAAAGGCCTTCAACTTGTCCATGAATCTGATGAAAAAGCTCGAGTTCATAAAAGAGGGAGAGACTGTTAAGATGACCCTACAGCGACTGGGAAGCCAGCGTCCCGTTCTAACAACTCTACAAAGAATTAAGCAGAAGAAAGCCGGCATTGTTGACACAAAGACTCAGGAAATTTCTCAACTCACCGAGCTGGCCAATGAGATCCTTTCGAAGACGGGCAACATGGACATATATCAAGAGACCTATGAAAGCATCAAGTCCAAGATCGCTGACTTGCCAGGCACTAGCAAGCCAAAAGCATGATGATTTCGAAACAAAAGAGTTGGAGATGTCGAAAACCTCGGACCCAACTGCAAAACCAACGATGACTACCTCGGAGGTGACCTGGGAGTTCAAATGGTCGCAAAAAGAGACTGAAATCCAGGACCCTTTTACCACTGAGAAAATGTTGAAATGGTCACAAGAAAACTACTTCAAAACCGGAGTCTATGTCCGAAAGTGCGGCGAAAACACCAATTTCTATACCAGCAACCGCATAGATTTCGATTTATACTTGTAAGCCATAGGTAACAAATATTGTAGTTATCTTTTTCAAGTTAGTTTGTTCTTTTGCACTAGACTTTGTTTTACGTCAGATAATTCAAAGCTATAAGAAAAAAGCATTATATTTAAACAATTGATTAAGTTATTATCATCAATACGCATTATAATATTCTAGTTTTTTCAACTGGGTGAGCAATTTTAAAAATATATCTTATTTGATTGATTTGAATTTTATTGTATCAAATGTTTAAAGTTAATAAAAAAGCCAGTTAACACTTAAAGCTCAACTACAAATAAAGTAATTTAGTCAAAGGTCCAGGTCTATTATGTTTCTGGGCCACGAATGGTTTGGGCTCTATTAAGCCGTAAAAAGGAAAGTTTGTAAAGCTTCGGGCCGTAACCTACAGGTAAAATCATTTCAACATTTGTAGCCAAGGGTCTGGATTTGGTCGACCTGTCTAATTTGTAACCTCTTTAAAATACTAGGCATGATTTTATATTTAGACATGTTTAATTTTGTTTTTTCATTTTTTACTTGTACAGATGACAAGTTTAAAATGTGCCAACGATAGTATGAAAAATATTCGATTACCAATATACAATCGATGATTCTGGAGCTTTGGTTTGGGCTCGGGAGCTTCGACAACCCTGGAAAACACATCGATTAACGCAGCTGAAAATATTTTTATGTTTAGTTGATTTCTTGTACCAGTTACCTACTACTAGAAAAGAAATCAAATTTGTTAGTGCTTCTGTGTTGTTGGAAACTCACTTTTCATCGGGGCTTCGAAGAAAATAAAATTCTGGACCAGCCGCAACAATTGTCAGAATGACGACCAAACACATATGTTCCATATGTTCCAATTTATCGGACCTGCAGCTGAAGGAGCAGGGCAATGGCCTGTTTGCAGCCCGAAAATATGACGACGCAATAAACTGCTACTCAAAGGCCATCGTGAGTATCATACATACTTATTGTATTATTGCAATGTTTACAGTGCTATGTTTATGCTACCGTATACAGATAAAAAACCTCACAAACGCCACCTACTTCACGAGTCGAGCGCTCTGCAACCTGAAACTGAAGCGATGGGAACTGTGCTGCCAGGATTGTCGTCGCGCCCTGGACATCGATGGGAACCTGCTAAAAGGACACTTCTTCCTGGGCCAAGGACTCATGGAAATCGACAGCTTTGACGAGGCCATAAAGCACCTGCAACGGGGTTAGATCCCTGCAAACACGATTGGCCCATGCTCTAACTATATTCAAATTCTAGCTTACGATCTCTCCAAGGAACAAAAGAAAAACTTTGGGGATGATATTACCTTGCAATTGCGACTAGCTCGCAAAAAACGTTGGAACGTCTTGGAGGAGAAGCGAATACAGCAGGAAATTGAATTGCAAAGCTATTTGAATCGGTAAGATACCCTTTACCCTTATTAGTTGACATTGCAAAAAAGGAATATATAGAGGCGTGCCACAGAAGTCCCATCATATTGGGATGTACATAGGAATCGGTGTTCGATTTCTGTGCTACCTCCGATAGTAATCCTAGGAATCATTCCAAAAAAGTAACAATTCTTATGTTGCAATATTGTGAATTTGTAATACCATTTTTGAGACGATCCTTAAATGATTCCACAAAAAAACTTGAATTAACAATCGTCCGGCATAAAAGTGAGAACGAAATTTCCCCAGAGTAGCCACGTGATATTTTTACCAAAAAGCATACATATATACAGAAATGTATTGTTTAATGATGCTCGTTAATCTATACGTCTCAGGGCATATGTATATGCAAATTGTTTGAACATGGAAAAGATAGATAGAGTTGTAATAATGGTGTTTTCTTTAGAAAAGTAATTTAAAATATTTTTCAGGTTAATTAAAGGAGACATGAAAAGCCGTTTGGCAAATTTAAAACTTAATGAAAGGGCACACGAAGAACAGCTAAAAGACAAACAACAGGAGATTGAAAAAGAGTGTGTAAGTTTATTTTCCGTAATTTTCAAAGCGGACCTTACCTACTATTATTTCAAATGCTCAAATTAATATTGGATTTATTTACTTTATTTAGGACGACCATATAAAAGAACTAAACAACATGTTTTCAAAAGTTGGTGAACGCCGAAGGGTGAGTAGCATAAAAAATCATCCAAGATTTTTATTAAATATTACAGGATTAGGCATACTTAAATTGTATCTTAAATTTACAGAAGCGCGACGTTCCCGATTTTCTATGTGGCAAAATTAGTTTTGAAATATTAAGGGACCCTGTGACAACTCCGTCTGGAATTACCTATGAACGCAAAGATATAGAAAAGCATTTACAGCGGGTTGGACATTTTGATCCTTTTACACGTGTGAAGCTCACTCAGGATCAACTAATACCGAATTTTTCGATGAAGGAAGTGGTTGACTCTTTTATTGCAGAGAACGAATGGTCTTTAGATTATTGAGTTATGTATTATGGAATAAACATTGTAATTGATTAGATGTTAGAGCCCAGTTCACATTGTCTAAAAACCAGAATAGTGATAATAAATGTGGATCTGCAACTGATTTGGGTAGTATTATACAAATGAGAGGGTAAATCAAGACCAAGATGTTTTTCAATACTAACACATTTCTTAAAAAAAACATTTACATATGTTTTTACAAAAACAGTTGCGGTATATATTTTAAACATGTTTTTTTAAATATAAGTGGAAAAAAGACATTAAAATCAGCGGATCAAAAAAACAGCTGATGCAAAATGCGAAAGATGCAATTTGTGTGCAGGCGATATATCTTTGTTGTAATCAAAGATTGTAAAATGTTTTTGTTTCGATACACCGGATTCAATTGTATCGTTTCAAATGCAAGAGCCGCCAATATCTTGACAGTAGCTAAATATCGATAGACATTTGATTACAGAAATCATTTTCAAAGGAAATTCCTAATTGGTTTTGATTTGACTTGGATTTGGGAAATATTTATTTTGTAAACCATGAGTTCGTCTGAAAGCCAGTCGCAAACTTCAGCGGAGGGCTCAGCTCAAGATGTTCGGATCTTGTGTTTGCAAAACCTGATTGAGAAGAACATTGAGATAGGTAAGTGCCAGAGCATTGCGTTATAATGGCTTTAATATAACACCATACATTTATTTTAATGCAGAGCAACAGATTGAAAGCAAGACATTTGACCAATCCATCACGGCAATCGAAGAAATCATTCGAACAGCGAACGATATAAACAAGGGTCATGAAGACCCGCGTACAAACTCCACGGAACTTGTTCTGGACACTGAATTGTTAACACGCAATCACGAAGTTGTGGGCAAAGCTATACAGTACAACACTATTTTTACTGACAGGATGGTGATCACGGCGATCGTAAGTACTCCCTACGGGTTATTGGTGCTACACTATAGTGTTCAAACATCCAACAGAATGAATTTGTTTTCAAAGAACAAGAAGAGGATTGGGACGCTGTCTGCGCACTGGCTGTTCAATTTGGGAGACCGCTCTTCTCGAATGATAGTATGCTTCCCTTCATAGATGTTGCTCCAAAGAAAGTCATTCCCAAACAGCGGGCTCAGCGCAAACAAAAATCTCAAGTAAGTATCTTTGTCCGACCCTGTAAAGTATGTATTGATCAATATATAATCGTTTACCCGGCGAATCACCGTTTGCATGCCGTTTATTAGAAATTTTTGCATTTAAATTTCTTGATCGGTTTAATCCCAACCGAATTTGGTTCGCAGAGAATTCTATGCCACCCCGTCTCGACCCTTTGCTATGCGTAGTCAGATCACGTCGAAAACCGATTGTCCAATCTCTTCTGACAATATCCTGCAGGCAATATAGTGATAGAAGAGTCAAATTTGATAATTATTAATATGAGATGGTTATATACCATATCTATATAAAAATCGTATAAAGGCGCTATAGGAGTACACACAAAAAGGGTGTTTAGAAAAAATATCTATAGGCTTTTAACTTTTTTAATTTCTGTAGATGACTTAACAAAAAGGCTTTTTTGTGATATACCCAAATGTCGTTCACCATTTAACGACAATAGTTAAGTTAGGCAAAATAATTTCTATCTCCTGCTCAGGGCAGAAAAATATATATTAGCTAATTTTTTGATTTATTTGCTTACTTATATTATTTGTTTTTCAGGTGGAGGAAAAGCGTCCAACTAAAAGTGATAAATTGGACCGCAACGACAAAGGAGCAGCCTCCGTTACCTACATGTTAAAACAAATCAGGCAAATATATAGAGAGGGAGGTCATCAGCCGATACCGTATTTCAAATTAAATTGTAATCCGAATAACTTCATGGACAAAAGAAAAGATAAAAGATATTCTTCGGCTCCATTTAACAGTATTTACATAATCAAACAAAAACACCTCTCACCGAGGTAAAAAGTAGTGGCGAAAGCGCTCTTAACAAAAATTTCTGATATCAACAATTGTGACGAAAAATGATATTACATTCGATAAAATAAATAAACTATATTAAATTTATGATTTCGTCCCTCAACAGTAAATATTTATTTACCTACACATAAAATTTCTGCTGTAGCGTGCCGAATAGCTTGGAGAACATTTAACAGAAATATGAGCACTCAAAATCTTGTAAGCTTTAAACAAATTAACGCACTGTACAGAAGGGAAATTAGAAATTGTAGAAAAGAAAGCATACAAATTTTAACATCCAGCATCAGCCCAGACACTAAATGTGCAACTATCTGGAATAAAACACGCACTTTCTGTGGCTTACACAAGGCCATTTCAATTCATTGCATCAAGGACTACAATTCAAATCACACCTTCACAGATCAGGGGGATATAGCCAACGCATTTTCCAAGCATTTGTCTCTCTGTTCAGATGACAGCAATTTCTTGACTCTTTTTCTACAAGCTAAAAGCGATATATTTAACAACTGGCCCCATTACTTACCGCACAAAAACGCAGAATTCATGGAACAAAACATAAATTTCATTGAATTTTCTGCAGCCTTAAATAGCCTTAAGGGAAACACACCAGGGTATGACAAAATCAATTACTTAATGATTAAGCACGCCTCAAAACCCTTGAAAAATAGAATAATAGTCCTTTTCAACAGCATTTTAAGAGCAAACTTTCCGCAAACATACAAAGTCAGCACAATAATACCAATCCACAAGCCAGGAAAAGACAAAACATTGATCGAATCCTACCGCCCTATATCGCTCAATCCCCGCATATCTAAAATATTAGATAAAATTATCACCAAAAGACTATGGTGGTTTGTTACAACAAAAATATTGCTTAATAGTCACCAACTTGGATTTAGGAAAGAGAAATCAGTTACAGACTGTCTACTGTTTGTAGACGCTTTGGTCAGCCGAGCCCTATCCGAAAAACGACACTCATCCATAATTTCACTAGATTTTGAAAAGGCATTCGAAAAAATAGGATTGCACACAATAATAGTCCAATTGAACGCTTGGGGTTGCGGTCAAACAAAAAAATACAAAACCGTAATTTTGTTCCTAACAGCTTTCAACAGCCTGGCAGACATAATAGAAAAAACACAGAGATCTTAAATTCACTGCCTATGCAGATGACTTTAACATTCTAATTGACCTAAAAAAAAGCAAGTCTGTAAGACCCAACTTAGACCCTCTGTTTTCTGAAATAAGCAACTGGTGCTCAATCTCTGGAGCATCATTATCCTTAGATAAATGCAACCACTTACATATATGTAGGAAAACAAACTGCCGATGCGAAATAGAAACAAGCTTATGTCCGATAAAAACATCTAAAGAAACAACTATTTTAGGACTAACCTTAAACTCAAAGTACAGATGGAACTCTCACATTAACAGATTAAAAAAATCACTGGCCAAGCCGTTAAACATTATTAAATGTCTATCAAGCTACAAATACAACAGTCACCCACACACACTAGTCCAAATAGCAAAAAGTCTTTTGATATCAAAAATTGAATTCGCCTTACCAATATACGGAAACGCCCCAAAATCTACGTTAAGGCCAATTAGAACATACATTAACTCAGCTCTCCGCTCAGCGTTAGGAGCATTCCCTTCCACTCCAACCCACAACCTCTATCTTGAAGCGAATGTATGCCCCTTAGAAACCAAACCCCAGTTTATGAAAGCCAAACTTTGGAATACAATAGTACACTCCCAGGACACCCCCCTTTATCCCATAGTAAACAAAATTATAAACAAACAGAATAAAAAATACAAAAACTCAGTACTCCAAGACAGTATCAACATCTGCTCCAATTTAGGACTGACAATTACCCCGGTTAAAAAACTACCTAAGTCCAACCCCCCATGGCACTTAAAACCGGAGTCATTAAACACACACCTGAACAAAAAAGGAAAAGCAACTACCCCAAAAGAAATATTCTTAAAAGAATTTTTAGAAACTAAACACAAATTAAAAAACTATACCCTAATATACACGGACGGATCCCTATCCAAAGAAATAATTGGCTATGCAATAACAACAGAAAACTCAACCATTAAACTAGGAGTGCTCCCTGAGTACTCTTCAGTTTACGCAGCAGGAGCTACAGCAATCCTTGAGGCAATCGAGATAAGTCTAAAAACTAGAGGGAAAACATGCATTTGCACTGATTCCTTGTCAGTAGTGGAAGGCATAAAAAACATAGAAAACTCTACATATCTTATCTCCAAAATTCGAAGTCTCATAATCAACAACTTCCCAAATATAAAACTTCTTTGGGTACCAAGCCATGTATGTAGGTATAGCTGGTAATGAATTCGCCGATGAAGCTGCTAAAGCAGCTACAATTTCCCCCTTAATAGCTTCAGCAAACACTTGGTATTAAACAACTAATGTCAGCCATCTTAACATTGCCCACTACACAAAAAACCCTGTCTTTTCTAAACTATCCAGAATTGAACAAACCAAGTTTATACGGTTACGCCTTGGGCACACTAGACTGACCCATGCAAATAGATTCGTTCAACCTCCATCGAACCAATGCAAATTTTGCAATAGCACGGACACATCGATTACACATATCTTGAACGAATGCCCATCCTTCCACAATATTAGACCCAAAACCCCAAACTCCGATCTCATCCCTTTCTTAACTAATCCAAAACCTGAAAACATTTTTATCTCGCATATCTCGCATTTCTAAAAAAAAGCCAACATCATGAATGAATTATAAGGCTACAAGATGAGAATTTAAAGCTACTTTCTAATATCATGTATCAAAAATAAGATTTCTGTTTCCTAATTAAGTGTTATTTGTTAATCGTAAGCTAAATGTTAAGTGTTAAATCTTATATAATAAATAAGAAATAGATGAAGTTATAATCAGCCGAAAGCCTCAGCAGCTATGGCTGTCATTCCTCCCTATAGCTTAATTTTTATAAGTAAGCCTACAGTGTACAAATAAATAAAATTATCTGGAAAAAAAGTTTAACAAGTTCCAGACCCATACAACTAACTTACAGGTAATTATATATCTTTGCTCCATTAACAAATACTGAAATATTTGAAGTCACACATATTTTCACTCAGCCAGCCATATTTAAAGATCTTGAAGATTCTACAAAAGGAAAGAACGAAAATGTTCAAAGGCCAATTAAACTCTAATGTATTTGAAAAAAGACTAAATTTTTTAGTAATATTTAGTCATCATAAGTGTATTTCGAATTTTGAATATACATTTGTTAGTAAATCTTGATTAGGACTCACGAGTTTCACTTATCTCTGGATTTTAAGAAATAAATTAATTTCAAGCGGTCTAGCAGAAACCATGTCGAAAGACTTTTCAACCTACTCCTCTTGTTAAGTTAATTTTTTACAAATAAAGCTATTAAGAACATAAATAGTTATGTATGACATGGAGTAACCTCACTTTGTGTTCATTTCAGAATGACCCGTTTTCAAAGGAGGCTCATTTGGCTCGTGGTGGTGTTTTTGATCCTCTTGACGCTAATTACCGAGGACGCCATCGGAAAATACAGTAGCAGCAGCCGAAGTAGTAGTAGCTCCCGCTCAAGTTCCAGTTCTAGCTTAAGTTCCAGTTCCAAATCCAGTTCCGGCGGATGGTCCTCATCGCGCTCTTCCTATAAGTCTCCCTCCTTTTCGAGTTCGTCGTCAAGCTTTGGCAGTCCCAAAGGACGTCCAGCCTCCAAATCATCGGACAAGCCATCCCGCGATTCAAAACTTCGTTACCCTACTTCAACAGCGGAAGTAGCTTCACCTCTAGCTCCGAAACCCTGGAAACTTATTATGACTCCACAGATGATTACCTTTACTTTACAATGCAGCCACCAGTGAACACCGTGCCAACTATAAAAACATAGCAATTTTCGTTTTTTTGCGTTTATGCTCGCATTTTATATAATAATATATGCAAAAATGTTTACTTTTAAAACTTAAGGCAAAGGACTCACATACTTAACTTATTTAATAAAGACCAAACATTTTATTTAACTTATTTATATGATATCAGTGTTTTATATCAATCACGATCTATACTTGCTCACTACGAGGAGCTTTCTTCTTCGCATGCTAAACCAATAAACCGGGCTTAAAACCTACTCATGGTCAAAAATGCGAAAAAGAATACGGTCATGTCTCTATCAACTCATCTACTTATGCTGACAAAAACATATTAGTTATATTCAGGGGTGATACAGAATCCGCCGATGGTTTTTGAGGGCGTTCGGTTTGAAAACCAACCAGCCAAAACCTTTAAACACACCGAATCTATAGAGTTTTAAGTATATTTTGTCTGATTTTAGGAACATTATTTTCATTTGTTGATTACGTCAATTTATTTTTTAACAACTTGATTTGCATTTCGTGTGAAATTTGGTTGGCAGGGACTTCGGTGACACCCCTGATTAGGTCGGTTCTTTATTATCTGGTACTGTGCGAATTCAAGAGATTACGTCATACCAATTCTGAGAAAAAAGAAATTGTGAAATTTTGTTTTTCTTATCTCCTTTCCTTAGCATGTCTTGGAGAAAACAACATTTCAAGCAGTTTTTTATAAGCTGTGTTGCTTATTCTACGATTCGAAAAAATCTATGGTGTTGAAGCTTTTTGACGACGGCGTTCTTGCAAGATCAGCTGATAGTATACAATGGCAACATATGTATATACATATGTACATACATAAAAACAAGAAAAACGGTATAGTCGAGTGGCTCGACTATCAGATATCCGTTAATGTGTTTTAAATAAAATAGAATCTGTAGAATCTACACGCTAAATCCCAACTTTGTAGCTTTTATACAATAGTTTCCGAGATCACAGCGCTCATACGGACACATGGGCATGGCTAGATCGACACGGCTAGTGATCCTGATCAAAAATAATTGTATATTCTTTCTTCTGCCTGTTACATACTTTCGTACTAGTCGTATATACCCTTTTACTCAACGAGTAACGGGTATAGAAATGAATTTGCTTAAAGGGAAAAAGCTTTCTTATGCCAAAGCTTTGGGGATTCCCAACTAGGGATTTACAGCTGATCCGATTTCTACAAAACGTGGTTGTGAAAAGTCTCTTACTTCTTATCGTTTTTTTAGCAGATTGCGAGTTGTTGATTACAAAAATAGCACTTAAGCGTCATCAACGCCGATTGAACTAAGGATGTCCCTTTACCCGAAACGGCTCAGAGCCAGCCTACTAATGACGGGGCTCCTAGTGTTGGCTCTCACCTTGGAGGATGTTCATGCCAAGTGGCGGTTTAAGTTTAACATTTTTGGGGGCGGAAAGACCTCTTCGGTCCCTCGCTTATCAACTTCCCATTTGACGCCGGTTGCACTGCCGCCTTCGATACCATCTTTCCACTTGGATACTGTAGGGCTGAGCTACCGAGGTAGACCTCATTCGCAACCGTCAGTCCCTGACTTGCCGATTGGATGGAAGCCCCAAGTTCCTTTGGGCGGTACTTACACCAACATATACGATCGTATGCCGGCCTATAATCCGTTCTTCAAATCTGGAGCAACACAAAGCCTTTCTGGAGAAGGGGGCAGTTTCAGTTCAAGTCGTTTCGACTACGGACTCGGATCGCATTCGCAGCCTTCAGTCCCGGCCTGGCCTATTGACTGGAAGATCCCTAGAAACCACCTAGCAACTCTGCCGGCGCATATCTCCTCGATATCTTCTTTTGGCGAAACTCGAAACAACATTTACGACCGTCCGCCGGCCTACAATCCGTTCTTCAAATCTGGAGCCACGCAAAGCCTTTCTGGAGAAGGGGACAGTTTCGGCTCAAGAAGTTTCGTAATCAGATCCCATGCCCAGCCTTTAGACCCCATAAACGAGCGCCTGCTGAAATCTGTAGCCACACAAGCGCAAAGAAATACGAACCTGCAAAGGAAATCCCATCCTGGAGAAGGCGGCACTTCCAGTTCAAGTGATTTCGACTTCGATGAAATTTTTACCGGCATTGAAAACACGGTCCGTGATATCTCCACAGATAAGAACGAAACTGTTCACTATCCAGAGGCGACGCAGAGATCTGGCTTGGGATTGGGTGAGTTTCAAAGAGCCATTTGTTGCCGGAATCTCCTTACTAATTTGCATTCTTTTTCACAGGCACTGGTCTCTTTCCAGGAGCATTGGGTCACTCACTTACTCCCACCCATAACCGAGAAGTAGAGCTTGCCGAAGGTAAGGGCGGAGAAGACAAGAATATCAGCATACCCACCACCAGTGCCTTGGGATTGGACGAAACGGAGTCAACTACCGAAGAAACCCAAGAAGCATCTACTTTTTGGCTGCCAGTTGCTAGTTCAGCCCCTGCTCGTATAACCCGTGACATTTTTAGGAAATCTCTACCGCACCGAAATGATCCCTCCAGGATGGCAGAACAGATCTTTGGAAATGTAAGCATCATCTCAGTGATCATTACTCTACTCCACTTTTGAGAAGAGATCTCCCCATCAGGCAGACAGGTGTAAAATAAAACGGAAAATAGGAAAAAATATTCTTTAATTAAGGACAGATAACAGGACAAAGGGACAGATTTCTGGAAAATTAAAAATTAAAATAAAGTTTTTCTGGATATATCTTACGAAAAAAAAAGATACCACATAACCCTTATATGTGAAGCAGAAATCATTTTGGGTATTCCCCAATCGGTTAAAATACTGAAATAATAATAATAAAATATAACATGTTCTTATTTCCGAAAACTTTGATTTTGGTTTGTTTAACTTTAGTGCACTGTTTTAATACCCACTAAATAAACCTTCTTTGGGATATTTTCTGGAAAATACCATGAATGCAGAGTTCCCACCAACTAACCTGCAACCCTAAAAAGATTTTAGCTAATCCAGTTGGCCCCAGCAAACTGTCAAGTCATTTGGAAGCACTTGAAAAATATTTCCTTTAACGATGGACAAGAAAACGAATTACAAGCTGTGCGAACGCAACGTGGACCTCCTTAATGATCTGGAGTTCGTGGACAAACTGGTTAAGGACCTTGGATTGGAGGCGGAACCACAGGCTCGTGGCGTTATCCTAGACATGGCTTACAGTGAGTTGAAATCCGAAAGTAAAGGCAAAGATTTTCAGTGATTTGCTTCAGCTTTGGCAAGGGACAAACTGGTGGAGGCCAAACGCTTCGCCACGCTGGCGAACCGTTCCACCGTGAGTGCCGAGGATCTGGAGATGGCGCAGCTGGAGCGGACCGACGAGCCGAAGGGGGAATCCGGCCAGCAGGCGCAGAAGGTCCTGGCTCCCAACCAGGAGTCTCCGCCCATGCCGAGTACGAGCCGGGGACTATCGCTGCCCACAAGGCGCCACTGTCAGGTGGGCAAGATGGCCAATCTGAAGGACAAGGGCTTTGATCAAGCTCAAACGAAGCCGAAGACCGGACTGGCATCTATTTCGGTGGCACGTGGTACTGCCCTTTCGGGTGCTAGCAACTCTAGCTCTCATTCGGTTTTACCCGTGACATCTTCCCTTCCCGAGGACTCTGAAATAATTTCAAATATTCCAAGGTCTTCTACTTCCGCTCTTGGTCCACCAGGGGCCGATCCCCCGGTCTTTAAAAAGCCACGACTCCCGAAGTAGGGTCACCTAGAATTAGTGTACTATGGACAAAACCCTATTTTACACCTAAAATATGATATTTTTTCAGTTAATAAATATATGTACCTATTCATTAACAAATCGAAAGTCATCTGATAGTTTTTATAGGTAATAGGTAATAATATATAGGTATAACTAGTTCTTGAATGTATAGGAACGTAAGTTTGTATACACTTCTCTCCTAGATTAATGCAAAGAGCGTTTCCCTACCAACAAAGTGTAAACATTCTTGATCATGATCATTTGTTGAGTCAATATAGCCATGTCCTTCTGTCTGTTCGTACAAACGCTGTGATCTCGGAAACTATAAGAGCTAGAGAGCTACGATTTTAGATTATGGCTCCTTAATATCTGATTCAGCACAAGCCCCACAACGCTTAAGTCGGTCTATCCCACAATTTTAAAGATTTTGTAAAAGAGTAGATTAGGTTCAGTTTTGATTGTCAATATTCATCTATCTACCCATTCCAAAATATTTTTAACTGTTCATTAAAATTTGGCATAGAGATTCTACTACGTTGCTTGCTTCATCCAAGGACCACGCCCACTCGAACGCACTCATAGGCTTTTGGCACTCAGTTTTTTGCTGATTTTTTCAGCGTACATTTAATTGTGCCAAGATTAATACCAATCGATTGACACAAAAAAGTTTGCCCGCCCACTTAAAGGCCTAAGACTGTGGCGCCCATAGTTTTCATGCCAAAAAAATGTTTAAGTCAAGGGTACTTGTCTCGTCAATACCTATCGATTGACCCATCCCCTTTGGTCCCTTTAGCTGAGTAACGGGTATCTGATAGTCGAGGCACTCGACTATAACGATCTTCCTTGTTGAATCTTAAAGGTTAAAACTTGACATATAGGTTGTACTAGTCCCTGTAAAGAATACGTTTGCTTTAGCGGGGTACTATTTATCCAAATACGATTTTGACCAAACAAATACAACAAATAAAAGATGGTTTTTCTTATTTTAGTGATGCATTTTTTTCTATACAAACTGTAGGTTGCGTCATGTGTGACGTCAACCATTTTTAAATCAATATATGAACGGCTACTATCGGACAGTGAGTAATATTTTTGAACGAAATAATGAAGCTTACAATATTAATTCTGATTGGTATTTTATTGACTTACTAATTTAACACTTAAAATAGAATAATGAAATGAATAATAAAATTCTTTATATTCTTTATGGATATGGACCACGGGTCTGGTGGGTACGCAATTTGTGTTTTTTGCACGTCAGACATTTTCGAAATGTCAGAGAACCAATAGAGATATTCCATATGCCGGCTTAATAGGAAGCTTCCGATCGCTGCTATAGATGCAATTATTAAAAAAAAAGATGTTAGATTCTTGAAAACCAAGACTAGGCCACTAGGCGACTCAGCTCCTCAGCTTAAGGGAACAAAAGGTAGATGTACAAGTAACACGTTATGGGCGTTAGAGTGGACGTAGCAAACTTTTTTTTAGGTCAGTTACTATTTTTTTCTTGCATAAAAACTGTGCGCTACGTACGAAAACAAGGAATCTAAATCTGAAATCTCAACCCTCTAGCTCTTATAGTTTCCGGGATCACACCGTTGGCACTCGGCTAGTGATGCTGATCCAGAATATATTTATATGGGGTCGAAGACGCTTCATTCTACCTGTTACATACCAAATACAATACAATACAATACCAAATGCAATATACACTTTTATCTAATATTTATTATATAAACATGTTGACACCAAATACTTATTCTCTACTTTATGACGTGTAAAATTAACTGCAAAGCGGGAAAACACAAGTTATCATTTTCGTGAGGCTGTTTTGGTCATAAGTCTAAATATTTCTCAGACTTATGGGTACTCGGTATTGCACTTCTAATCGGCCATCCAGCGAGTGTGGTTCTGTTCTTTCGTTTCTCTTCTCAAAAGAATCGTATTTCATTAAGAATGCTACATATCTTTATGTGCAGTATTAAGGTGAGTTTTTTATAGGCTTTGGTAAATAAATCAAAATAAGTTAATGTTGTTTTTTATTGATAGAAAGAAAGAGCAAGAACGGCAAGCCAAAGTTTTAATGTACCGTGAGACTAAAATAGTCTCAATTCAACATACAAAATCTAACGACCGCATATGGGCAAATATTTTGATATATATATACCCTTATAAGATATACCCGTACTTATGATCGTACTTTTAAATCGTGCACATATGTATTTTTTTCAACTTCTACTTTCCGAAGTTAAAGTCCTTTTTTTTAAATAACTAACTATATCGTTTATTTTATAATACCAGGGACCGTAACAGTTATAACTTTTATTTTAATAATCATTTTGTAATCGTTAAACATCACTATTTACATGTGTCATGAAATAACTTTTATTTTCTGACTTTTTTATAACTATCAGAAAATAAAGGTTATCCTCTGATCGAAAAAAAGTAAATTTCAGATATATATGTGCAGATTCTCTATATCCTCAAAAACCGAATTGTAATGTCCAATACGCGTTTTATTACCGTTGCAGAGGGTATTCTGAAGTTTGCAACGTTTTCGACCCTATAAAGTATATGATTTTTTATATAAGAAAGCGTTTGCGATCCTGTAAAGTACATAGGATCACTGGCCGAGTCGAACTAGCCATGTCTACGAGTAAATGCTACATAAATAATCGATAAATAATCGAACCGATTAATAATACCGTGCAGATCTCTAGAACTGCTCAAAAATCAACACGTTTTGTTATATTTTACAATGAAGTCATAAACTGTAACCCGAACATGGGTTTACCTGAAAAGGGTTAGATATCCTAGGCATTTTCAAAACCCAAAGATAAGCAGGAATGTCTGCGTGGGTCATTAGATAAGCGTAAATGCACAGAAAAAAAACCGAGCCAGGATCAATTTGATATGCGCATGGTAAATTTGTGTTTTTTAGACACATATCATTTTTACCATCAAATAATGTCAAATTGATACCAAAAAATGTCAAATTGTCGATTTCTCTCTTTTCGGAAATTTCTTGACATCGAAAAAGAGAGGATGTAGCAATATGGCGACATCAATCACGTGAGTGGAAGCGAAAAGGATATATTCGAAATTCGAATTGGGCTAATTCGAGCATGTTGTCTCGCTTGCACTAGGATGCGTTTTAGTGGATTTTTTGCCACTTGAATTTTATTTTGATGCAGGTCGGACGTGCATGGTCAGTGTAGTGTTTCTCCAAGTTGAAAAAAACAGGTAAGTAAACTTCATATATAATGTGTATACGTATAAAGTGTTATAAGAACATAATAAGTGGAAAAAAATAAAATCGTGTGCGGTTTTCTGAGTGGCTTTTACTATACGACTGCCCTACGACAAGAAAAACACGTGCAACTATGTGTGTACATACATACATACGTACGTATGTAAGCGTGCGTATATGTAGAGGCTGCGCCGGCGTGAAAACAAATTTAACAAGTAACATAACATAATTGCATTTAAAAATTAATTTTTATTTCTACGCCGTCCTGCAAAGTCGCTTCTCATACACACTTATGTATGTATGGACAGATGCACGTACTTTTCATTGCCGTAAGAATGAATGTGCGTGTGAGAAACTAAAAATGCTAAATCAAGACACACATTGTCATACACACATAGTTACGCATGCACATACATATGTATGTATGGACAGATGCACGTGCTTTTCATTGTCGTAAGAATGTGCGTGTGGGTAGTTTAAAAAAATGCATAAGTGAAATTTATATATCGAGAGTTTATTTAATTTCACTTGTGCATTTTTTTGCTTCTCACACGCACATTCTTACGACAATGAAAAGCACGTGCATCTGTCCATACATACATATGTATGTGCATGCGTAACTATGTGTGTATGACAATGTGTGTCTTGATTTAGCGAAAATTTAGTTAGTTTCACTTGCGCATTTTTAGTTTCTCACACGCACATTCATTCGTATGAATAAAAATTTACAGTGTTTTTGCGCTCAAACACGTACACACAAATGTAAATATTGGCCCTTAGAAAAAATGACGGAGTCTGAAAAGGAAGGACTATTAAGTTTCTTGACTGATCAGGACCTACCAATGTCCTGTTACGACTGTCTTATTGGTAAATATAAAACAAATATAGTGTATTAATTTACAATTTTGGTTTTCAGATTGTTGTTTTACTTTCCAAGGGCTCAAATATATAAACGATAGCGACTTGCTGCATATATTCCCAAAAAGAGAGCAGTGCGGGATTCTGGATATTCTGGAAAGTTTTTGAAAAACAATTTTTGTTATTACCCAGTTAATTGAAGTTTCCAATTTTAGCGAGCATTATCAAGCTTATGTGGTGGGTGCTGAATTGGAAAATTATAAGATTGATAATATAGAAAACTTTGAGGGCCCGCCGATTCATTTGTACATAAACTCTAGTAATAAGCTAATAAGAATAAAGAAATTTTAGTTAATAAGTATATATAAGTACAAAAATAAAGATTCAACGTAAATATAAAAAAAAGTGTAGATATGAAATATATATTTAAGTACAAAAATAAAGACTCAATGTAAATATAAAAGAGGTGTAAATATGAAATACAAATTCTTTGTAAAAACTGTAATAGGTAATAAAAACGTATAATCAAAAAGATTTGGCATATTATTATTTATTTAAATTTGTGTTTGACATTATAATATCAAATTTACAATAATATCATTTTGGTATTTTTAATATCCAATCTACTACAATGTAGATTTGAAATTATAATATCAAATTTACAATAATATCAATTTGATATTTTTAATATCCATTATACTACAATGTACCTTTGAAATTACAATATCAAATTTACAATAATATCAAATTTACAACCAAAACATTTCAAAAAATTGATACGCTATAATGTAAAAATGATATTACCGAAATATCGTTTTTACAATTTCGAACATATCAAATTGATATGTGCCGTATCTAGGCCGAATTGATACTGGATTTCATCAAATTGACCATCATATCATATCAATTTTTTTTTCTGTGTGTAAGATTCTCATGTTAGCTACGTAAGAAGATTGAATATGAATAAGGAAATCAGTTTGAAACAGTAACTCAGCAAATGAAGACGTCCTAACTTCTGGTAGCTCTATTCATTTTTCTGATTCCATTCTACTTCTGTATATCTACGAATATCAATTGTCCTATGTTTAATAAATTTCACTTTGCTTTCACCACTTTTGTTCAAGCCGTTATAATAGAATCACTCCATGCGTATATTTTGGCTGCATTATTAATAGATTCTTTGACTTTTTGTATTAATTTACTCATTTTTTTTATTTTTAATTTTCCTGTTTTTAATTGGATTTACTCTGCTTTTGCTGGCTAAAAAGTATGCGATTGCAGTTACAAGGAACTCTTTTTCATATATTTTAGGCAAGGAAATAGCAAGGAAACTGACGATACGCATAACTACTAGCATTACATTCATACGTTCCCCGACTCTGAAAGTTTTAAATAATTTTTAACGGCCGCTGCTCCCGAATACTGAACTTGGGTATATACGTTTAAAAATCTGTAAGAAATCTATTTACCGACGGATTGTCGTGATCAATGGCTCATATTCTTCGTTAAGGTTTAGCCTTCAAGAAAAAACATAAGACTAATTTCGGTTTTTAAGCGTGTATTTTTATAGAACCCATTTATGCCAACGTTTTTGAATTGGTCCAACTTTTTCAACTTTGACGAAGTGTAGCTTCTAAACTAATGATTGGAACTCAATGCTGTGTATTTGAAAGTTAAAAGGCATTCTATTACCTGTAAAATGAGTCTTTAACGACTGAATTCGGTTTATCAGAACTCAAGTTAGAAAATAAAAAGTTGCCAAAAACGTTTTTTACACTTTAAAAAAATTGGTAACACACAAAAAATTTTAAGTGCCCTTTTCTTAATCAGGGAGATGTACCTTACCGGAAAACCATGGTCGCCTTAAGGGCGTATTTCGTCGATTTTCTTTTGTAAACTGGTGTATTTGTTACTGTGTTTCAAATAAAATAAAGTTCAAGGGGATTTCTATTAGCACACAACACCGATGCCAGCGCTTTGGCACCTAGCGGTCAGTAGCGGTACTGCTCACCGTTCCAAAGTTTGTTTAACTTAGTTATAACTTTAAAAAACATTGCGATTCTCAGCATTTAGATGGGTATTGTTCAGTAAAATCGATTTCAACTTACACTGAAAGAAAATTTTCAAACATGTGGGCGCCAGACTTTAGCGTTATCAAACAAGAATCTGTAGAATCTACACGCAAAATCCCAACTTTGTAGTTTCTATAGATTTCGAGATCTCAGAGCTAATACGGATACATGGACATGGCTAGATCGACTCGGCTAGTGTTCCTGATCAAAAATACAACCTTTCTTCTGCCTGTTACATACTTTTCGACTAGTCGTATATACTCTTTTACCCTACGAGTAACGGGTATAAAAATGAATTTGCTTAAAGGGAAAAGATTTCTTATGCCAAAGCTTTGGGGATTCCCAACTAGGTATTTACATCTGATCCGATTTCTTCGTTTTTGAGTCATCAACCCCGATTGAACTCAGGATGTCCCTTTACCCGAAACGACTCAAAGCCAGCATACTAATGACTGGGCTCCTAGTGTTGGCTCTCACCTTGGAGGATGTTCATGCCAAGTGGAGGTTTAAGTTTAACATTTTTGGGGGCGGAAAGACCTCTTCTCTTCCTCGCTTATCAACTTCCCATTTGCCGCCCTCGATACCAAATTTCCACTTGGATACTGTAGGATGGAACGTCCCTATAAAGACCCAAGCTCCTTTGGGCGGTACTCACACCAACATTTACGACCGTCCGCCGGCCTACAATCCGTTCTTCAAATCTGGAGCCACGCAAAGCCATTCTGGAGAAGGGGACAGTTTCGGCTCAAGACGTTTCGTAATCGGATCCCATTCCCAGCCTTTAGACCCCATATACGAGCGCCTGCTGACCTATAATTCGGCTTCCAAGTCTGTAGCCACACAAGCGCAAAGAAATAGGAAGCGCAAAAGAATAGGAAGAAGAAAAGGAATAGGAAGGAAATCCCATCCTGGAAAAGGCCCGACTTCCTGTTCAAGTGATTTTGACTTCGATGAACTTTTTACCGGCATTGAAAACACGGTCCGTGAAATCTCCACAGATAAGAACGAAACTCTGCCCGCCGAAACTGTTCACTATCCAGAGGCGGCGCAGAGATCTGGCTTGGGATTGGGTGAGTTTCAAGGGGCCATTTGTCGCCAGAATCTCCTTACTAATTTGCATTCTTTTTTACAGGCACTGGTCTCTTTCCAGGAGCATTGGGTCACTCACTTACTCCCAACCATAACTGAGAAGTTGAGATTGTCGAAGGTAAGGGCGGAGAAGAAAAGATTGTCAGCATACCCACCACCAGTGACTTGGGATTAGACGAAACTGTGACAACTACCGAAGGAACCCAAGAAGCGTCTTCTTTTTGGCTGCCAGTTGCAAGTTCAGCCCCTGCTCGTATAACCCGGGACATTTTTAGAAAACCTCTACATCACTGAAATGATCCCTCCAGGATGGCACAACAGATCTTTGGGAATGTAAGCATCATCTCAGTGATCATTACTCTACTTGTGTCCTTTTGAGAAGAGATATCCCCATCAGGCAGACAGGTGTAGAACAAAACGGAAAATAGGAAAAAATATTCTTTAATTAAGGACAGATTTCTGGAAAATTGAAAATTAAAATGATGTTTTTCTGGCTATATCTTAAAAAAAGCAAGATACCACATAACCCTTATTTGTGAAGCAGAAAACATTTTGGGTATTCCCCAATCGGTTAAAACGCTGAATTTTGGTCAGCTGTTTATTAGCTGCTCCAGACAAGCTCTATTTTTGAGAAAATTAAGCAAATCAATAGCCTTGAGGTTGTCACCATGTTTCATTAAAAAGCTATGGCAACTCTTTAACATTTTAGTACCACCAGTAAGCATTATTTACTTTAAAATCCAATTTTATGTATTCTTGCTTTGTTAATAATTTTATTCGTTAACTTATAAGATATACTAAAATATTACATGTTCTTATTTCCCAAAAATTTTAATTTGGTTTGATTAACTTTACTGCACTGTTTTAATATCCAGTAAATAAACCTTCTTTGGGATATTTTCTGGAAAATACCATGAACGCAGAGTTCCCACCAGCTAACCTGCAACCCTAAAAAGATTTTGGCTAATCAAGTTGGCCCTAGCAAACTGTCAAGTCATTTGGAAGCACATGAAAAATATTTCCTTTAACGATGGACAAGAAAACGAATTACAAGCTGTGCGAACGCAACGTGGATCTCCTTAATGATCTGGAGTTCGTGGACAAACTGGTTAAGGACCTTGGATTGGAGGCGGAACCACAGGCTCGTGGCGTTATCCTAGATCTGGCTTACAGTGAGTTGAAATCCGAAAGTAAAGGCACAGATTTTCAGTGATTTGCTTCAGCTTTGGCAAGGGACAAACTGGTGGAGGCCAAACGCTTCGCCACGCTGGCGAACCGTTCCACCGTGAGTGCCGAGGATCTGGAGATGGCGCAGCTGGAGCGGACCGACGAGCCGAAGGGGGAATCCGGCCAGCAGGCGCAGAAGGTCCTGGCTCCCAACCAGGAGTCTCCGCCCATGCCGAGTACGAGCCGGGGACTATCGCTGCCCACCAGGCGCCACTGTCAGGTGGGCAAGATGGCCAATCTGAAGGACAAGGGCTTTGATCAAGCTCAAACGAAGCCGAAGACCGGAGGGCCATCCAATCCTTTGGCACTTGGTGCTGCGCTTTCGGGTGCTAGCAGCTCTAGCTCTCGTTCGGTTCCAAGTTCTTCTACTTCCGCTGCTGGTCCACCAGGAGCCGGTCCCCCGGTCTTTAAAAAACCACGTATCCCAAAGTAGGGTTACCAAGAATGAGTAGACTATGAACGAAACCATATTACACCTAAAATATGATATTTTTTCAGTTAATAAATATATCTACCTATTTATTAACAAATCGAAAGTCATCACATAGTTGTTATAGGTAATAGGTATGTTGGAAATATAGGTATACCTAGTTCTTGAATGTAAGATTGTATACACTTTCTCCTAGAGTAAAGGTAGTGAGTATTTCGAAAAATTAAACAAATGGAAGGAGCGTTTCTCATTTTTGATCTTGATCACTAGCCGAGTCGATAAGTCGATGTCCATGTAAACGCTAGGATCTCGAAAACTATCAGAGCTAGAGAGCTACGATTTCAGATTGAGATTCCTTAATTTTTGATTCAGCATAAGGCCCACAACGCCAAAGTCAGTCTAGCGCCCTTATTTTTAGAGATTTTGTTATAGAGTAAATGTTATAGAGTAAATACTCATCAATTGTTGTCAATTTTCATATACAGTTCAATAAAAAGTCATAAGCAATTAAAGTAAAAGTTTGTGAAAGCGGTTTAAGTCGACTACATTTTAAAAGCAATAAGCTCAAATGTCTCAAATAGACTTTACTAGTAATTTAAAAGCCCATGATTGCATCACAAATGCCCATAACGCCAAGTTCTGTTTGGCGCCCACAGTTTATAAGGTAGAAAGCTAAAATTTGACATGAAAATTCTACTAGGCTGCTTGCTTCATCCGAGGACCACGCCCACTCGAACGCACACATACGTTTTTGGCACCCAGTTTTTTAAGGATTTTTTTCAGTATACATTTAATTGTGCCAAGATTAATACCAATCGATTGACTTACCCACTCTAAGGACCATACCGCTTAAATTTGTCTGCCGCCAATGACAATCTCGCCTTGCTGCTCGCATATCTCCCTTTGGCTCCCTTTAGCTGAGTAACGGGTATCTGATAGTCGGGGCACTCGACTATAGCGTTCTTCCTTGTTGAATCTAAAAGGTTAACATTTAATATTTAGTCCCTGTAAATAATTCGTTTGCTTCAGCGGGGTGCTATTTAATCCAAATACGAAGTTGGCCAAAAAAAACAACAAATAAAAGAAGGTTCTTCTTTTAAAATGTTTTTTCAAACTATTTACGAATTTTTTAGGTATGCATAATACTATACAAGCTGTTAGTTGCGTCATGTGTGACGTCAACCATTTTTAAATCAATATATGAACGGCTACTATCGGACAGTGAGTAATAATTTTGACCGAAATAATGAAGCTTACAATATTAATTCTGAGTGGTATTTTATTGTCTTACTAATTTAACACTTAAAATAGAATAATGAAATGAATAATGAAATTCTTTATGGTATGGACCACGGGTCTGGTGGGTACGCAATGACATTTTGAGTTTCATTTGTGTTTTTTGCACGGGTCAGACAATCGATGTGTGCGTGCCGACCTTTGGTTGCACGGCATTTTCGAAATGTCAGAGAACCAATAGAAATATTCCATACGCCGGCTTAATAGGAAGCTTCCGACCGCTGCTATAGATGCAATTATTAAAAAAAAAGGATGTTAGATTCTTGAAAACCAAGACTAGGCCACTAGCACGTTATGGGCGTTATAGTGTTCGTAGCAAACTTTTTTTTATGTATAAAAACTGTGCGCTACGTACGAAAACAAGGAATCTAAATCTGAAATCTCAACCCTCTAGCTCTTATAGTTTCCGGGATCACACCGTTCGCACTCGGCTAGTGATGCTGATCAAGAATATATGTACGAGTATATGGGGTCGAAGACGCTTCCTTCTACCTGTTACATACTCTTCCCCAAATGCAATATACCCTTTTATCTAATATTTATTATATAAACATGTTGACACCAAATACTTATTTTTTCCTCCTGTATGACGTGTAAAATTAACAGCAAAGCGGGAAAACACAAGTTATCATTTTCGTGAGGCTGTTTTGGTCATAAGTCTAAATATTTCTCAGACTCGGTACTCGGGTACTCGGTATTGCACTTCCAATCGGCCATCCAGCGAGTGTGGTTCTGTTCTTTTGTTTCTCTTCTCAAAAAAATATTATTTCATTAAGAAAGCTACATATCTTTTTGTGCAGTATTAAGGTGAGTTTTTCATAGGCTTTGGTGACTGAATCCAGATAAGTTAAAGTTGTGTTTTATTGATAGAAAGAAAGAGCAAGAACGGCAAGCCAAAGTTTTAATGTACCGTGAGTCTAAAATAGTCCCAATTCAACATACAAAATCTTACGACCGAATATGGGCAAATATTTTGTATAAGACATACCCGTACTTATGATCGTACTTTTAAATCGTGATCTGCGTGCACATATTTTTGTCAACTTCTACTTTCCGAAGTTAAAGTCCTTTTTTTTAATAACTAACTAAATCGATTATTTTATAATACCGGGGACCGTAACAGTTAAACATTTTATTTTTTTAATCATTTTGTAATCGTTACCCATCACTACTTACATGTGTCATGAAATAACTTTTATTTTCTGACTTTTTTATAACTATCAGAAAATAAAGGTTATCCTCTGATCGAAAAAAAGTAAATTTCAGATATATATGTGCAGATTCTGTATTTCCTCAAAAACCGAATTGTAATGTCCAATACGCGTTTTAATACCGTTGCAGAGGGTATTCTGAAGTTTGCAACGTTTTCGACCCTATAAAGTATATGATTTTTTGATCAGAATCACTAGTCTAGTCGTTAGAGCCTTGTCCGTATGTACGTTGTTATACCCGTTACTTGCAGAGTAAAAGGATATATTAGGTACGTCGGAAAGTATGTAAATGGTATAAGGAAGCGTTTGCGATCCTGTAAAGTACATAGGTTCGTGATCCTGATCAAGAACCTATGTACTTTACAGGATCGCAGGATATATTAGGTACGTCGGAAAGTATGTAAATGGTATAAGGAAGCGTTTGCGATCCTGTAAAGTACATAGGTTCTTGATCAGGATCACTGGCCGAGTCGAACTAGCCATGTCTACGAGTAAATGCTACATAAATAATCAAAAAATAATCGAACCAATTAATAATTCCGTGCAGATCTCTAGAACTGCTCAAAAATCAACGCGATTTGTTGTATTTTAACCCGAACATGGGTTTACCTGAAAAGGGTTAGATATCCTAGGCACTTTCAAAACCCATAGAAAAGCAGGATATCTGCATGGGTCATTAGATAAGCGTTAAGTAAGATTCTCATGTTAGCTACGTAAGAAGATTGAATATGAATAAGGAAATCAGTTTGAAACAGTAACTCAGCAAATGAAGACGTCCTAACTTCTGGTAGCTCTATTCATTTTGGTCATTCGAGCCGGAATATTTTCTGATTCCATTCTACTTCTGTATATCTACGAATATCAATTGTTCTATGTTTAATAAATTTGACTTTGCTTTGACCACTTTTAGTCCAAGCCGTTATAATAGAATCACTTCATGCGTATATTTTGGCTGGATTATCAATAGATTCTTTGACTTTTTGTATTAATTTACTCAACAGAGGGGCTGCGCACAGCTCTAGTTTTGGAAATATTTTCCTACTTTTTTTCCTTCTACCCTGCTTTTGCTGGGTACTATTGTAACAAATCTTCCTGCTTTAGCATACACTACCGCAAATCTGCAAGTCCGTGCAGACGTGCTAACGGTCATGTCTTTATCAACTGACAAAAACATATTAATTATATTCAGGGGTGACACAGATACCACAGACGGTTTTGGGGACGGTTGGTTTAAAAACCAAGCAGCTAAAACCTTTAATTTCACAGAATCTACAGACCTAGCTATTAGTGCTGGGCAAGCTAAAAAGTATGCGATTGCAGTTACAAGGAACTCTTTTTCATATATTTTAAGCAAGGAAATAGCAAGGAATCTGACGATATGCATAACTACTTGCACCACATTCATACGTTCCCCAACTCTGAAAGTTTTAAATAATTTTTAACGGCCGCTGCTCCCGAATACTGAACTTGGGTATATACGTTTAAAAATCTGTAAGAAATCTATTTACCGACGGATTGTCGTGATCAATGGCTCATATTCTTCGTTAAGGTTCAGCCTTCAAGAAAAAACATAAGACTAATTTCGGTTTTTAAGCGTGTATTTTTATAGAACCCATTTACGCCAACGTTTTTGAATTGGTCCAACTTTTTCAACTTTGACGAAGTGTAGCTTCTAAACTAATGATTGGAACTCAATGCTGTGTATATGAAAGTTAAAAGGCATTCTATTACCTGTAAAATGAGTCTTTAACGACTGAATTCGGTTTATCAGAACTCAAGTTAGAAAATAAAAAGTTGCAAAAAAACGTTTTTTACACTTTAAAATAATTGGTAACACACACAAAATTTTAAGTGCCCTTTTCTTAATCAGGGAGATGTACCTTACCGGAAAACATGGTCGCCTTAAGGGCGTATTTCGTCGATTTTATTTTGTAAACTGGTGTATTTGTTACTGTGTTTCAAATAAAATAAAGTTCAAGGGGATTTCTATTAGCATACAACACCGATGCCAGCGCTATGGCACCTAGCGGTCAGTAGCGGTACTGCTCACCGTTCCAAAGTTTGTTTAACTTAGTTATAACTTTAAAATAACATTGCGATTCTCAGCAATTAGATGGGTATTGTTCAGTAAAATCGATTTCAACTTACACTGAAAGAAAATTGTCCAATATGTGGGCGCCAGACTTTAGCGTTATGGCCGTTTGTGGGCATTAGAGTGGGCATGGCACTTTGAATCAAACAAGAATCTGTAGAATCTACACGCAAAATCCCAACTTTGTAGTTTCTATAGATTTCGAGGTCTCAGAGCTAATACGGATACATGGACTTGGCTAGATCGACTCGGCTAATGTTCCTGATCAAAAATACAACCTTTTTTCTGGCTGTTACATACTTTCCGACTAGTCGTATATACTCTTTTACCCTACGAGTGAGGGGTATAAAAATTAATTTGCTTAAGGGGAAAAGATTTCTTATGCCAAAGCTTTGGGGATTCCCAACTAGGTATTTACATCTGATCCGATTTCTTCGTTTTTGAGTCATCAACCCCGATTGAACTCAGGATGTCCCTTTACCCGAAACGACTCAAAGCCAGCATACTAATGACTGGGCTCCTAGTGTTGGCTCTCACCTTGGAGGATGTTCATGCCAAGTGGAGGTTTAAGTTTAACATTTTTGGGGGCGGAAAGACCTCTTCGCTCCCTCGAACGCCGGTTAGACTGCCGCCCTCGATACCATCTTTCCACTTGGATACTGTAGGGCTGAGCTACCGAGGTAGACCTCATTTGCAGCCGTCAGTCCCTGACTTGCCAATTGGATGGAACATCCCTATGAAGCCCCAAATTCCGTTGGGCGGTACTCACACCAACATTTACGACCGTCCGCCGGCCTACAATCCGTTCTTCAAATCTGGAGCCACGCAAAGCCTTTCTGGAGAAGGGGACAGTTTCGGCTCAAGACGTTTCGTAATCGGATCTCGTTTCCAGCCCTTAGACCCCATATACGAGCGTCTGCTGACCTATAATTCGGCTTCCAAGTCTGTAGCCCCACAAGCGCAAAGGAATAGGAAGCGCAAAAGAATAGGAAAAGGAAGAAAATCCCATCCTGGAAAAGGCGGCCATTCCAGTTCAAGTGACTTCGACTTCGATGATCTTTTTACCGGCATTGAAAACACGGTCCGTGATATCTCCACAGATATGAACGAAACTGTTCACTATCCAGAGGCGACGCAGAGATCTGGCTTGGGATTGGGTGAGTTTCAAGGGGCCATTTGTCGCCAGAATCTCCTTAATAATTTGCATTCTTTTTTACAGGCACTGGTCTCTTTCCAGGAGCATTGGGTCACTCACTTACTCCCACCCATAACCGAGAAGTAGAGCTTGCCGGAGTTAAGGGCGGAGAATACAAGAATGTCAGCATACCCACCACCAGTGTTTTGAAATTGGACGAAACGGAGACAACTACCGAAAAAACCCAAGAAGCGTCTACTTTTTGGCTGCCAGTTGCAAGTTCAGCCCCTGCTCGTATAACCCGGGACATTCTTAGAATACCTCTACCTCACCGAAGTGATCCCTCCAGGATGGCAGAACAGATCTTTGGAAATGTAAGCATCATTACTCTACTTGTGTCCTTTTAAGAAGAGATAATGGGGCATCAGGCAGACAGGTGTGAATTAAAACGGAAAATAGGAAAAAATATTCATTAATTAAGGACAGATAACAGGACAAAGGGACGGATTTCCGGAAAATTGAAAATTTAAATAAAGTTTTCTGGCTATATCTTAAAAAAATCAAGATACCACATAACCCTTATTCGTGAAGCAGAAAACATTTTGGGTATTCCCTAATCGATTAAATTGCTGAATTTTGGTCACTCTTTATTTTCAGAAAATTACGCAAATCAACAGCCTTGAGGTTATCACCATTTTTCATTAAAAAGCTATGGCAACTCTTTAACATTTTAGTACCACCAGTAAGCATTATTTACTTTAAAATCAAATTTTATGTCTTCTTGCCTTGTTAATAATTTTATTCATTAATATATAATAAAATATTATATGTTCTTATTTCCGAAAACTTTGACAACTGGTCACAGCTATTTGAAAATTCAACAGGAACCATTAAGGGTCGTAATCTGCTAGGCATTACCAAGTTTGCTTTTACTGTAACCCCATTTTTAAAGAGAATAAATATTATAATTGACTTGAATCACATTATTTTAACCTACTTTATGAACAATTGAAAATTTAATAAAAATACCGCAGTACTTTTTTGACAACCGAATACAAAACAACTTGAAATCACTTAATATTTGATTTTGTTTTGGTTAACTTTACTGCACTGTTTTAATACCCACTAAATAAACCTTCTTTGGGATATTTTCTGGAAAATACCACGAACGCAGAGTTCCCACCAACTAACTTGCAACCCTAAAAAGATTTTAGCTAATCAAGTTGGTCCTAGCAAACTGTCAAGTCATTTGGAAGCACTTGAAAAATAATTCCTTTAACGATGGACAAGAAAACGAATTACAAGCTGTGCGAACGCAACGTGGACCTCCTTAATGATCTGGAGTTCGTGGACAAACTGGTTAAGGACCTTGGATTGGAGGCGGAACCACAGGCTCGTGGCGTTATCCTAGATCTGGCTTACAGTGAGTTGAAATCCGAAAGTAAAGGCAAAGATTTTCAGTGATTTGCTTCAGCTTTGGCAAGGGACAAACTGGTGGAGGCCAAACGCTTCGCCACGCTGGCGAACCGTTCCACCGTGAGTGCCGAGGATCTGGAGATGGCGCAGCTGGAGCGGACCGACGAGCCGAAGGGGGAATCCGGCCAGCAGGCGCAGAAGGTCCTGGCTCCCAACCAGGAGTCTCCGCCCATGCCGAGTACGAGCCGGGGACTATCGCTGCCCACCAGGCGCCACTGTCAGGTGGGCAAGATGGCCAATCTGAAGGACAAGGGCTTTGATCAAGCTCAAACGAAGCCGAAGACCGGAGGGCCATCCAATCCTTTGGCACTTAGTGCTGCGCTTTCGGGTGCTAGCAGCTCTAGCTCTCGTTCGGTTCCAAGTTCTTCTACTTCCGCTGCTGGTCCACCAGGTGCCGGTCCCCCGGTCTTTAAAAAACCACGTATCCCGAAATAGGGTTACCAAGAATGAGTAGACAACAAAACCATATTCTACACCTAAAATATGATATTATTTCAGTTAATAAATATTCCTACCTATTTATTAACAAATCGAAAATCATCTCATGGTTGTGATAGGTAATAGGTATGTAGTATATATATGTACTTATATACCTGTAGGTATAAGTAATTCTTGAATCTATAGAAACGTAAGTTTGTATACACTTCGCTCCCAACAAAGTATAAACATTCTTGATCATATCTTGACATCTCCCACATTTTTAAACATTTTGTAAAAGTGTAAATTAGGTTCAGTTTTGATTGTCAATATTCATCTATCTACCCATTCAAAAATATTTTTAATCGGTCTGTTCATTAACAAGTCATGAGCAATTAAAGTAATGCCAGCTAGTTTGTGAAACCGGATTAAGTAATTCTGGCGACTACATATTAAAAGCAATATGGTCAAATATTTCACATGGACTTTACTAGTAATTTAAAAGCCCATGATTGCATCAAAAATGCCCATAACGCTAAGTTTTGTCTGGCGCCCACATTTTTTAAGGTAGAGAATTAAAATTTGACAAAGATTCTTCAACGCCGTTTGCTTCATCCGAGGACCACCCGCACTCGAACGAACACACAAATTTTTGGCACCCAGTTCTTTAATGATTTTTATCAGTGTACATTTTATTGTGCCTAAATTAAATTAGTTATCTGATGATAGTCAAAGCACTCAGTTATAGCGTTCTCTCTTCTTCAATCTGAAGTTTATATATTATGGACAGGGACTAAAGCAATTTTGCCTCAAATATTTTTGTATTACGAGTATCTCTTAAAAAATAGCTGTATCTCAGTTTGAAGGGTATGCAGTTATGGTGGCTTTTATTTTGAGCCATCTTTAGGGTCGGTAACTACTTCTTCATTGCTGTTCACCAAGTCGTCGATGCCCTGCTGCAAGTCTTCCGAGAAGCGGTTGTAGTACAAGGGCACCTGGACGCCCAGGGCGTTAAAGGTCTTCTTGACCGTCTCGTTCCAGGCATCCACCATGGACTCCTGCCACGGCTTGACCTCCACGTCGGGATCGCACTTCTCGCAGCGCCAGCAGCAGAATCGGCCCATCAGGTCCTCGGCAAAGGGACTAACCTCCCGCTTGGCGTCTTCAAATAGCTCCTGTGTGTGGTCGGCACTTTCCCAAATACCCAACTCTTGGGTGCCATAAACCGCACCAGCCACCAGAGCCAATCGGAAAAGGAAGAAAGCCATAGGACGAAGATAGTTTCTTAAAATTTTGAAATACACCAATAATTTGTTTATTTTTTGAAAATTTTGACAACTGATTTGGTTGTTTTTGGCATCACAAACTTCCCTTCCTGTTATCTATCATTCTTACCATAAAAATGTTAATACTATCCAGACATTAAACAAGTTTCGGTTTTGATTTCACATTTATTGAATGCTATTCCTTAGGGCATGAATATACCTAGTCAGAGGAACCAATGCTCAATCTAAACGTGGGTTCTTGAATCTTAAATTCAAGCTTTTCAATTTTTCTAAGCAGACTGTCATGCTTCTCCTTCAATTCCTGCACACGATCCCGCTTCATCAGAATAAAATTCACTGTTAGATCGAAATCTGCTAATAACTTGGGATAGCACATAATCCCACCTTTTTGTCGGACTTCTTTGATTTTGGCGAGAAGTTTGTTGTGTTTTAAGTTGCTGATGTATAATTGGTCCCGTAACTCCAAATTTTGCTGCTGTTTTTTACGCAGCTCTGCTTTGGCAACCAGAAATTTGCGACTCAGCAACTTTCGCCGACATCTCAAATGAGAGGTAGTATGAATTTTCGATTTTATCAAGGCATACATTCGATGCAGTTCTGTATTTCTATCTGTATAGAAACAAAATAGAAGATTGAATTTATGGATCATGTTTCATAAATATATATATTTTTATTTGTTTTATACTCACTAGTTAGAGTATTCGATAACTGCTGAACGTCCGTTTCAGTTGAGAGATACGTATCCATTTTTACTTCTCCAGAAATGGTCTCTGTTTCATCTATTTTCTACAGAAAGACACTTTTAGTCAACCAAAGTTTTTTTTACCAGTACCTCTTACCTGCTTAATGTAGGCATTGTTATGCTGCTTTATAATTAAAACAAGACGTGTCTCGGACATAAGATCACGCTTTTTTCTCATTTGACGTAATGCGGCCTCAGTTACCTATTTAATACGTTATTGGAGAAAATAAAATTATTTATAAGTCTTAGTTATGTTTGTTGGGTAGAAAAGATACATGTGTCATGTAATATTTGTAGATGAAGCATGTTCAAACATAAAACTCATCAAGAAATGTTTAATACCTAGCTCCAGTTAAACCATTTTATAAATACTAAGAAAATATCTTCTTCTAAAAACTACTTACGACTTTAAGGCGATCTGAGGCTTGAGGCAGGCAGAAGATGGTTTTTCTTATAACTTGCTCCATCTCTTCGACCCTTTCATTGTCCTCCGACTGCATCTGCTCCAATTCTCCGAGAAGCCGATCCCTCTCCGCCATGTAGATTTCCTCAGCCTCCCGTTCGCGCTGAAGCCAGAGGTCCAATTCGAACAGGGCACTCATATAACGCCCTCGATGGGCCTCGTTGACCGAGATACCTTTGCTCGGCGTTATCAGGGAATATTTAAACCGGCGTAAGTAGTGTTCAGTCAGACGCTTGGTCAGCAATTCGTTTTCGTACCTTTCCCAGGTATTATCGTCAACTTCCTTCAAAAGCCGTTCCAGGAGCTTACTTTTGTCCAGACTTTTGTCCCGCAAATAGACCGGATTTTCGAACTTATACACCACTTTTTCAATCAGTCCATTCAAATAGCTCTGGACAACCTGATCGATGGGAAAAGTCACATGGGAACGAATGCGAGTAGAAGTCTGGGAGGACCAGGACCCGGATGAAACTTCGGTAAAAGTAGGTATAAAACTTGATTTTAATTTCGTTTTTTCTGATTCCCAGTCGCTGTCGTCATCAGATTCCAGCTCTGAGGTCGAGAGCGAAGGCAGACTTTGCCCATCGGAATCATCTGGCGGCAAAATTTCCTCGTATTCGGGGTCGGTTGACTGTATGCTATCAGCTAAACTGTTGGAGTTACTGGCTAAAGGATCCCGGAACCTCCCGAGGGCCTCATCGTCCTCCTTCTTCTCCGTTTTTATCTTTCCAATCGTCGAGGTTGTACTCAGTTCGTCCCAGTTAGGTATGCTCCTGAGGCTGTTGAGTAGAGTTAATCGCATCCTCATGTTCGAGTCTGAGGATACACTCATCTGGCTTTCGCGCATACTCGTGATTGCATCTTCGGAGTCGGTCTTTTTGTCTTCACTCTGGACTATTTCACCAAGACGTTCTTCCTCCGAAGTGGCATACGTACTCGTATATTCATCTTCATTATCGTCACTTGGCGTGGCTCCAGGTATTACCTGAACCATTTCGTTTGTTCGATCTTTTTTGATCTTGTATAAGCGGGTTGGCTCGACAAAGCTGCGTAACTTTTTGTTGACCGCTATAATCGATTTTCCTGGGACAATAGATGAATTAATCGAGATCTGCGACATCCTAGCAGGTTTCTTGATACCAGCAGATTTCACCATCCTAATGGAATTTTTCCGAGGAGAGGGAGCCACATATGTTGGGGTTGGGGTATTCAAACCACTTGTCATGGCAGATGGCGTTAGATCCTCGGAATCCATACTTACGCTCAATATGGATTGCGATCTTATGGGAATTAAAGAACCCAAAGCTGAAGTCCTCTCAAACTTTTTCCCCACATCCTTAGCGATTTTTGGCTCTGGCTTAGCCTGCAATTGTTTAGATTTATTCAATTTCTTCTTTCTGCTTCTATCAGGAGTACCACTCCTGACGTCTACAAATTTGGATTGTCCGATCTTGGTCATTTTCCAAAAGGCGAAGAACACGTGCAGTACCTGCAAAAACCGCACGCTGCAAATATGTAAAATTACAAAGAAAACAAAAACAACAAACAGGTAGAATTAAATAATGTGTAATGTGAACATGTTTGATTGAAAAATCCCAAGAAAAAAGTTTTTTCCTATAAAAATCGCATTGCATGTTATGAGGCACCCTATTTTGCATCAGATAGAAAAGCACGTGTGGCATTTTTTGTTTTAAAGATCAATACACATTTAAATGAATTGAAAAATTATTTGTTACTAAGTCAACTATAATGGACTTTTATTGAAAATTCAAAATCCTGGCTTACCCTTATAAAAACTAGATTAAACATTCAGGGTGTCAGTTAGCTGTTTACCTATGTAAACCGTGCAACAATATTGTGCGAAATAGTCTTTAAAAAGTCGAAAAAATTCTTCTTGAAAATCTTATTTTGCTTTTCAGGTTTATATAGGCTGTTTTTCTGAGCATTACTCAATTTGTGACACTAAATCATCCGTCTAAGGACGCTGAAACTTGTTTCAATAAATACCACATATATTATTTTTCATATTTGTTAGATTTAGCCTTTCTAAGAGCTCTATAAATGTTGTACATTTTTTTGTATTTTTATTCAATAATTTATTAAAATTTAAGAATAGGTAGTACCTACAGTGAGCTTCTGGGTATGCAACAGCTGACCCTGCCTTTATTAACCTTCACGAAGAGGAGCTCAGCAATCTACCATAGAGAGAAATATTTAAGTATGTATGTATATGTTCTTAAATTGAGAGCGTTCGATCTTAAAAACCGTGTAAGTACATTTTGGTATCAACGTTCTCAATATCAAAACAAAATGGTGAGAAGAGAAAAGCTAAATTGAGTTTTTGGTAAGTATGGATTACTGACTGGTCTAATAGATTAGTTGAAAATTCAACTTGATTCAAGCACATTGGAAATATTTTCCACTTTTATAATGTTCTTCTGTTCTTAAGAACAGGACGCCGACAAGAAAAATAAGCTGTACGAGAGTATGTACTTTTGGGAATGCGTTTATTTTACATGAACTATGTAAATTGTTTAAACTTAAAGGTACATATACATAAATGTATGTGCGTTGTCATGGAAGGATCACTGTTTGTCTACGTCGGGGGTTGCGGGAGAGCTACATGAGTCCATGTTTTGTGGCCTCACCCTTAAAACAGGCGCCGTAGCTTTCGGCGGCCTCGCAGTGGTCATCCGGCACACTAATGGCCGCACATGTGTCGCCAATCTCAAGAGCCAGCTTTAACTTGGCCGGATCGTTACCCGTGTACTGCTTTGCCTTCTCATGGGCGGCATCCGTATCCAGCTTGCCGTCGGCACCAATCAGCCCAAAGTTCTTCATCACGCAGGCGCGAAGGCACTTGCCAGCATAGGTAGAGGCGGGCTGCCTTTTGACCAACTCCTGCACGTCGGAGTCGCCGGCATCCACTTCAGCCATACAGGCTTCTGCTGACTTCATGATTTGGGCCAGGGCTTCCTTTTCGTCGAAGCCGCGCACCAGGGTGGCGCCAAGGAGAGTAACTGCCACAAGAATAAATGTGGAACAATGCATGATGTCGGCCTGATGTGTCCGGACTGAACTTGGTTGTGGTGATGGCAATCCATGCGCTTATATCTGAACCAGCGACTCGCTCGGCTGTGAAATAATATGGTACATTGTTTAAAAAACTTGCAAGCGACCGTTCTTGGTTTTTTTCAATTAATGGAAAAGTCAATGAAATCAAGCCCGTTGACCGCCCCCATAAGGCACGCACCCCCAGACCTCTAACTGCTGACCGCCCCATTGGAGCACGCACGGAGTTTTAACAACATCCCACAACGATTGACAAACATAATAAAACAAAACAATTCGGGTCAATTAAAAACAATGACCGTAATTGTAGGTGTTTAGCTGATAGTTTAGTCGCGAAATCTTCAGCTGAAGATAGTTCAACATAGGTTCAAGTACGGCCGTAATGGCCATAAATCGGGGAAATAGAACTTTTTAGGAATTTACAAACAACAAGAAAGGCAACTAACTTAGGCGAGTCGAATTTTATACAAAATTGTATTTAAAATATATGAAATATTTTTTTAGAATTGTGTATATGTAAATATACTGATAGTTCCTATGACATTCGGAAATCCTTAAATATCGCAATTCTCCGTAGTAGAAGAGAATAGGACAAAGAAAAACGAAGCTATAATTGTTCTTTTGATAGCTATATATTGGTCGTTCGATCAAAAAAAAAAAATTTTAAAAACAAAGAAAATATCATTTGTTTCTAGCATTTATTTGCAACCTCACCTAGAAAACCTTAAAAAAATAATAAATAACGTTGCGATCTTTAAGATTTCCTAAAAGTCCTTTGGACACGAATTTTAAAAAATGCATTTTTAGCAAACCCATCTTTTATAACACGATTGAAACACAACTTTTTCCGTAAAATTAGCTCCTATGTGTTGGGGCTGGGGGACCATGACGGAAATCGACTTTTACTTTTTTATAGTAATTAGGATGTAGCTTAAAAGATTTTTCAACTTTCAATGGTGTTTTAAAGTTACAGCGCTGGTAGGCACGATATCTGAAAAACGTTTTAACCGATCGCTTTCAAATTAATTGTATATGTTCATCAAACATGTGGCATCGTGTTGACTAAAAAAATTATAATAAGAAACTTAGTATTTATTAATTCAACAAAACGTAAAAAAAAATTTCGTTGTATGTATTAAGTCGCGCCAAACTGGTTTTTTTCAATTAAGTACATTACAAAATAGCTTGAAATAATATATTTTTAAATAAAAGAGAGAGGGTACATTCTATTTCTTTTGAATGTTCGCGCCAATGCGCCACCTTTTGGGCCAGCAACGAACTACAAATAAAACCAAATTTAGTTATGAGTTAGCCCACCAGGTGGAGCACTGTGGGAAACATTCGGTTGTATTTTTTTAATCAATCGCGGTAAAGAAGTTACTGTAAGTATAACTTTACTTAATTGATTAGTTTTCAAAGAAATACTTTTTTTTACCAAAAACCGTTTGACCAGTTACCACTTCAGTGCCATCTGTATGCGCAAGAACTGGAGTGACAGCATTAATTTTATTTTTGTGCTAATAATCACGGTGATTTACCCAGCGCGATTACTTGAAATATTTTTGGTATATTTGAAAAAATAATATTGGTATAAAAGTATATTTCTGCGAGCCGGACGGTATAATTTATCGATGATGCCGCGGTCACACTGGCTGTAGCGGAAAAGTGACGTTTTCGTGAAGTTGTGTTGTTTTTTTTTTATTTTATTTCGTTCGTTTTTCGTTGGCCATTCGTCATCGCTTCGAGCGGGTGTCCTTGGAAAATTGTCTGTGCGCCGAGCGCCGTGGAGATTGACCTTTCGCCCCGCGATTTGGGGAGCGGAACTTCCGGAATCCGGATGCCCGAGCGAAAACGGTAAAAGTCGGCCGTCCCGTTCTTCGTCCGCCTGTTGCATCTCTCCCTCTCTTTCCCGCCGGCCTGGAATTGGGGTGGAGCTCGCCCCCTCTCTTTCGCTCGTCCATTCAGCTGTTGCGTTTGCGTGCGTGTGTGTGTGTGTGTGTGAAAGACTTTCGACCAAAAGGAACATACGCAATGTTACTTTTTTCGGCCCAATAAGCTGGCTAGTTGGCCAAGATAAGTGCCTGCGGAACGAAACTTAACTCCACTCCGAAAGGCGTTTATATAATTCGCTTTGCTTTCCACCTTTGTGCGTTTGGCCAGCTTTTCTTCTCTTTCATTCGGCCAACTTGTTTTGCCCGCACGCGAGTGTGTGTGTGCTGGTGTGTCGGTGAGTGTGTGTGCGAGTGTGCGTGTGTGCATACATGTTGCTATTAATTTACGCTTTCTGCTCGGCTGCTTCAATTAATTCTTTGGCTTAGTCCCGATGCCCTAACTCGAGTGCTTAATTGCCACACATTTCGTTTTCGCAACCACTAGCCGCTCGAAAAAGCTCCAAAATCCGAGGTACCTACTCTGAAACCCCCCTCCCTTCCCCCACTCCCGCCCATTTTCCATCCCACTCTGCGGTTGTATTTAAATTTCATTCGTTCAATTGTGAAAATCGCGGTTTCACAAAATTTGTGAAAGTTTCGTTTTTCCAGTGCTTCAGTTTTTCTACTTGCTCTCATGCCTCAGATACATACAGCAGTGGTCAATAAAACAATATTTTCCAGGCTTAAAAGCCTATGTACGATTTCTTATACTATGTGCTAGATGAAAAAGAAAAAAAATTTAAAACATTTTAGTTTATCAACACCAGCAACAAGTTTTGGCCTACCATAATTTATAAAGATTTTTCTTAAATATTTACAATTATTATTCTAACCATTAGGTTAATCCTAAAGCTTTTAAACTTTTATTATGAAGTTTATGACCAACCAAATAATTGTGTTTTATAGGCATTAAACAATTCAATTATAAACATATATTTTAAATTTCCAGAATATCGAAACAAAATTTAACACAGACCCAGTTTCGAACATAAAATATTTAATACCCCTCCTTAGATGTAAATTTTCCGAAAAAAAAATGTTTTCCCTTTGGATCATAATAATGCTTCCTTCAATGTAGGTTTAATAGAAATTTTAAAAACATTTTTTTAAATTGGTTATTATTGCCATGTTATTAATATCTTGAACACGGCTGTTGTGTTTAAACGAAGATAATTAATGCAGTCACTGCTGTTGGTGTGCTTTAAACAATAAGCATAGTGGGATTAGAGTTTTTGTTACGTTACGTTTGCACTATCACCGTGATCAATAGGTACAAGCGATTAAATATTAAATTTACAATTGGACCATATCAAATGGGTATCATTCAAATATTTAATCTTTACTTATCGATTAAATCTCCAATTGGTACCCTATAAATCTAAGCTGCTATCTGGCTAGGATTTTAAGTAGTTGTTAGCTAGATAGGAATACACATATATGAACGTACGTAATAGATTGGCAAACTAGGCCAAAGAGTATAGTATCAGACTAAATTACTGACCCCTATATACATATATATTATTTAGGTTTTTACATTAGAGTTTGAAAATAGTTTTACAAGTATCTTACATTTAAAATGTAAGCCCTGATCCAATATGATATTTAAAATCATCAAATTGATAATCGAACTTATCATAGGTTATGTTTGCTTTTACTTTCCAGCTTAACCTTCATGTTAAGTATGAGCTAATTATGCTGTGATGGCGAAGATGGCATCGGGAGATCTTTCGCTGACCAGCACGAGCAGTCAGGAGGGTAAGTCTGTGGATCTTTTAGCAGGAAATATCCTCCTTTAACTTTACCCGTGCCATTCCAGAAGAGAGCTCGGAGTACGCGGGCTATGATAACACCCTCCGTCCGCCGTCGAATTCCAGCGGCAGCACCACAGCAGCCAATATGGCCAACAACAACGGGCCCTCGAAGGGCGTCAATAGCGGAGTGGGCGTGTCGGGCGTCACCGGCGGAAATGGCACAAAGTACGATCTACTGCAGACGCAGTACAAGTCCGCACTCCTGGAACTGAACACCCTACGCCACCAGCACGCGAGCACCAAGCGGCGTTGCGATGAGTTGGCCACCGAACTGAGTCTCTACCAGGAGCACTACGTGGCCGATCGCAACAAGTTCACGGATATAGTGGAGGAGAGCGCGCGGCTCAAGCGCCTGCTGCTCGAGACCCAAAACCAGCAGAGCCAGCAGGCCCAGAATGGAAACAGCCAAGTGCCGCCAGGAAGCAGTGGAAATCCCTATTACTTTGGAAAGCCTCAGGGATGCGATGGCAGCTGCAGCGAGAAGCTTGCCGAACTTAAGAAAGAGCGCAACATGGCCGCAGTGGAGCGCGAAAAGTACAAGAAGTCCTACATCGAGCTGGAAAAGGATCGCAACTACTACCGGGAGC